TATTTGAGGACGGCTTTGGTGGTAAAGTTAAGAGTTGCCATATTTGCTGAGTATGTTTTAGCATATGATTTAACCTTTTATCAACACTCTGTAAAATGAGTCTCCTGATATCTCTGTACGTTCACTGTAGATGATTAATCAGAAATGAGGACAACGTTTGTTGCCCGACCCTACTGGAAACCAAAGCACACCGAGAGGCAGGAGTCACTGACTTCATCTCTGCTCACAACGTGATTCTTCCCCAGTCATTTCACTTTTTCTCCCATAAAGACAATGGGGATAACATTGATGCTGCTGGTCTCCCAGGGCTCTCGGAAGGCTCGCCTCACCCCGTCTTCCCTACACGTGGCCCTTCTCCCTACACATTTGAGGATGAAGAACTGATTCTTCCATGGGAAGCTCCCAGCCAGTCAACAAGTTTGGGAAGTAATATTTAACAGCATATGGAGAAAAGAGAGAAAAGACAACCTGACAAGAGAAAGGCAGGAGAAATGAGAATGGAAATGAACGTTTGTGTGTTGGTTGGAAAACACATCACCACCACCGCTCCCAGCCCCCCACATACCTATAGGATGAAGATTTTTAGATATTTTGGTAGACCCTATGAGTCAAAGTAGGCACTAACTATTGTTTATAACAGGAAGAATAATGAGGGAAATAACCAAAAATATGTTTACATATACCTAAATGCAATTATTTGAGTAAAAGTCTTAGCCTTCATTGGAGAACCATCCAGAAGTGGATTTAGGGGACTTCTTTGCAGGTATGAAACGAAAAGCTTAAGTCATAAAATTGAAAACTTCTAAAACTGCGAACAGTTTTTATAATTGTTTTCACTGATAGGTTACGGTAGATCCTCTTATTAAAAAAAAAATATTTAGAGAAAGAAAAGACAAATACAGTTTGTGAATCACCCAGTGGTCCTTGTCTGAGGAGACAAGATCTAATGAGCATATGCCACACACTCAATGAGTCATGTGTGTGCCTTGGAATCGAATGTAGCCTCTCTTGAAATTTTCATTACATCTCAAACAAAATGATTAGGATGCCTTGGGACATAATTCTAGGTTAAAAGTCATTTATTTCATGGGCTGCACATAGGGAACCCCTGATCATTTACAGCTATGAGCTTCAGTGCCATTTTGAGTGTCAAATATACTTAATATTTGTATTTATTTACAGTATGTTAAAAATCTATGCAAATTAAATAAGCACTAGGTGTTTTAACATACATAAAGACATAAAGTGTGCTATTAAAGAATATCAAAATTGGGGTGCATAGGTGGCTCAGTCAGTCAAGCATCTGACTCTTGGTTTTGGCTCAGGTCATGATCTCACAGTTTATGCGTTCGAGCCCCACATCGGCTTCCACACTGACCATGCAGAGCCTATTCGGGACTCTCCTCTTTCTCTGCCTCTCCCCCACTCACACACACTCTCTCTCTCTCAAAAATAAACATTTAAAGAATATCAAAATTAAGAGAATTTTTTTTAACATTTATTTATTTTTGAGAGACAGAACATGAGCAGGGGAAGGGCGGAGAGAGAGGGAGACAGAATCCGAGGCAGGCTCCAAGCTCCGAGCTGTCAGCACGGAGCCCGACACAGGGCTCGAACTCACGAATTGTGAGATCATGACCTAGGCTGAAGTCGGATGCTTGACCGACTGAGCCACCCAGGTGCCCCCAAATTAAGAGAATTTTAAGCATTATTTTCTCTCTGAAAAATAATTTCAAGAACATCGAAACTCACACCTGTTTGCTGATATCCTTGTCTGTTTATAAAGGTTATTTGGAAATCCGTAACTCCAGGTCATTTCTGCTTTCTTTGCTTGCGTGGAAGATTGGGCAATGGGAGTTAATTTAGAGAACAAGAACGATATAAAGTGACTAGTGAGAATTTTATCAGTTCGGCCAAAGTGAGAGTCAAGCCAAAGTCAACAAACAGTTCCTCACACTAATTTCATTTCAAAGGCACAAGCGATGTGCAAGCAAAGTTTCTAGTATCATCTGACTTTCTGCAGCTTTTCAGTTGATGAGAGTTGACATAAACTGTGGCACACTCCCAATTAAATAAATTTCAAGTAAATTTCAAGTAAATTTCATTAAAATCAACTTTCGCATTTTTGAGGTATCAGTATTAAAGTTAACAGATAGACGATGACGAGGCATCACATTCTACCGTAAAACATCAACGGCTAACATTTTATGTGAAAGGGAGCAAGTTAAGTAATAGCTACTGAGAGGCTAGTGGTATTTTAACTCTGATGTAAGGATAGAATCCATAAGAGAAATCAGACTAGAAGCAATTAGATTACACGATAGGTGGGCAGCATATCTTTCTGAATAATCAAGTAGAACATAAGGGGTTGAGGGTCTCAACGATGCCTAAAGAACCAAGTTCTTCCTTATTCTTGAACTTGTAGAATCACAGCACCTACCACTGGGATCCAGACAATGTCGGGTGTTTCTCTTACTGTTGGCTTCTCAGGAGGTCGTTATTCTTCAGCTCTCTTTATTCCAGTTCTACCACGGGAAATGCCAGGGCCATCCACTTAGAGTTATAGGTGGCACCGCTCCTGGAAATGAATCAAGTCTCCCACTTGTTCAATACTTTGTTCCTCTTCCTTTAAAACCCAAACATCTGGACAAATGTTTTCTGTCACTGGTGTCAGTTCTGTTAGCACCTCTGAATCTCTGTTTCAAAATATGTATATACACATTCTTCCAACATTCGGGGGGTCCCATTCTTAATTCACTGGTTGGTGACTTATTAACCACTTAGGACTTTTACATTTAAGGTACTGTTCTAAGCTCCAAGCGATGTCCCCAGCAGTGGATAGCACGGGCTATCTGGGGCGATAAAGTGAGTTCATATATTGGGATCCACAAAATGTAGGATGCCCCCAGGGTCTGGCCCGTGTCACAAATTTAAACCCAAGCTTGCTCTTATGGGAAATGCCCGTCAAGGAAACCTAGCACACACCAATCATAATCCTCTGTCTCAGCTTTAGGTAGCTCACCTTTCTCTGGAAAACAGGCCCTGCCAGTCTTGTAAGGAACACCCCCACCCCCCCCAGCCAATCATGCGTGTCTCTCAGTTGCCTCTTGTACCATCTACAAGGCTCGCTCTTGCCCCAAATCCCTTGGGGTCAGTGCTCCAGGGCTTGTGAGGCTGTGTATTCCCGGCCCCACCCCCCACCCCCCCACCCAACCCACAGATTGTTTTCCCTTAGGTAAAGGACATCAAGCTGTTGCTAAATAGTTTTACTTTCGTCACATGAAAGGGGGGACAGGGTACAGGAAAGACCGTCTCCATGTTAGATGTTGGTAAAAGCCAAACAAATTAACGAGAAAATATCAGGTATTGCTAATGCTACAGTAAACAGGGTAGTGTGACAGAGACAAAGGCATGATTTTAGACTGAGGCCTCACGAAAGGTCTCTCTGAAGTCACATTTACACTGAGATCAGGGTGACAGAGAGGGATGTTGACCATGAGTGACATCTGCCTATCGAATATGGGACCCTGCTCTTCCTAAGCCCTCAATCAATGTTCAACCCAAGTACTTATTATCTATAGGCCTTATTGCAAATGAATCACGCACAAGCTTAATTAAAGAATATAAAGTCAGGGGCGCCTGACTGGCTCAGTCAGGCATCCGACTCTTGATTTTGGCTCAGGTCACGATCTCGCAGCTCGTGGGTTCAAGCCCCCCATCAGGCTCTGTGCTGCCAGTGTGGAGCCTGCTTGGGATTCTCTCTCTGCCCCTATCCTGCTCACTCTTTCTCTTAAAATAAATAAATAAATAAATATTAAAAAAAAAAGAATATAAAGTCAGATTAGTTTGAATTGCCATAGAATACCTATGTACACACAACGTTTCAGTGACATCTACTAACATTATGGACATTTACAGTGTGTTTTCAAATTTTTTTTTTTTAACGTTTATTTATTTTTGAGACAGAGAGAGACAGAGCATGAATGGGGGAGGGTCAGAGAGAGAGGGAGACACAGAATCCGAAACAGGTTCCAGGCTCTGAGCAGTCAGCACAGAGCCTGAAGCGGGGCTTGAACTCACGGACTGCGAGATCACGACCTGAGCTGAAGTCGGACGCTTAACCAACTGAGCCACCCAGGCACCCCTACAGTGTGTTTTCAAGGGGGAAGAAAGACCCAGCCTTCATGTTATATTTTATGATATACGTATCTAAACCATTTATTTGCATGTAATTTTACTATGTTAATAAAAATTATCACCTCACCTCAGGGACTGTTAAATCCACGCTGAGGATGAACATTTCTTCCTATAAGGTGCTACTCTACCCTACTACCTTCTACGCTCAGAAGCCCAGACCTGGCGAAAAAATCCAGGCTGCTGGGAGCAAGACCTCCACTCGGATTCAACTATGTTCATGCGTTCACGTTCAAGCCTACTGATGTTCTGAATATTTCCAGTATTTGTAGTTGCTACTTTTTAATCAACACAGATTCTGATGGGACACTAAAAATTACACGCTTACCATTCCCAATCCTAGGACAAAAATGACAAAATCTGCTAACATTAGAAGAAACAAGCCTTTCCCACACAGACAGAAATGAACATAACGGGCAAGATGTTAAACGTGGAAACTCCGGCCTGACACGCTGTATAATTAACAATGTTCTAAAAGGTACGTGGAAAGGTGCACTCTGCAGAGACGGGAAATATGAACCAAAAAGCAACTGTGAAGGCATAAAACGACACGTGCTCATTTTAAACAATCTTCCATCACGAAGGTCAAAGCAGGAAAAGGCGTTGCCTTAAACATGATTATGTTGCTATCTATACTAACCGTTAATTTTTGGGTGCTATGCTCGTGCACGTGCGCACACACACACACACACACACACACACACACAGTTACACATGTGCATTGGGGCTCCTTTTATAAATTACTTCCTTGGAGTTAAAAGATACTTAAAATTATACAGAGAATTATACAGACTTATACAAAATCATACAGAAAATTTCGCACCTTTATTTTGATGGAATAAAAACAAAAACGGTAATGGGAAATTGAGATACCGTAGCTACAATTCAGTTCTTCTCTGTCAATCAAGAAGATACACTACAGGAAATTAAAGCACAGGCAAGGCTATTCATGCTTTAATCTACGTCACTCAAATAAACCTGCAAATCAAGGAGATTTTGAAAAGGATTTTCAATGACTTTCAGTGAAAACATTCTTTATTGGTAAAGCAGACACTTAAACTCTTTGATTACATATGTCATGCAAACCAACTGCCCTCACACGCGGTTGTCTAACAGCTCGATGTAATGTCATCTTTTTGGGGGGTGATGATAAATCCTACAGGTTACAGTGACTCCAGTAGTAAAAAGAATTCGGGGAAATGACTCTAAGGAAGCAAAACGCCATGTAGTATATATGAAAGTGTTGTTCTGAATGCCCAATTCTCCCTCCTAACTTCTACATTGTCGAAGACTATCATATATAAAGATGGCAGTGGCTTTTGTGTGTGCGTCTACAGGCACGCGACCTACGCGATAAAAAGGAACTGCAGGAATAACATTTCAAACAATTTTACAGGGTTTTGTGAATCCAAAATATGGCAATGCCCTTTAATATAAAATGTCCATTTGTTCCAACAGATGACTTCCGAAGGAAGATGATTTTGCTCCTGTGACACCATAGCTCATTCCTGGTAAGCGTTTTAGCCTGCCATCTGTTCACAGATTCTCCAAAGCGGTTATCAGTCAGTGGAGAGGAGCATGGCTTCCTTTGCTCTGAGAAGACTCAGGAATGACGTCACTGTGCCTCGTGACACTGAGAACAAGCTTCTCTGTGGAGGTGAGATAACACTTCCATCCGTGGAACTTCTGCCAGCCCTGCCAGGGGGAAGCCCTCTGCCAGGGGTCAGTTCACCTCCTCGAAAACGACCAGAGCACCCGAGGCAGGTGGATCCCAAGTCTCCTATTGGCGCATTCACGTCACGTGGCAGTGAGTAGGCATAGTGCTTTCCCAGACACCTGGAAATGGGGCGCCGCTGGAACAAATACCCAGAAATGAGGACGGAGCTTTGCAATCGGGCAGCGGGTAGAGGCTGGAAGAGCTTTCAGGAGCATGACAGAAAGAGGCAAGATGGCCCCGAGTGCCGTTGGCGAGCGGATCTATGCATGTTAACGCTCATGAGGGCACGAAGGAGGTAAAGGGCAGGGTAGAGAACACCTAAACTGCCATGGAGATTACGTAAACCGTCATAAACAGACTGTTAGAGGAAATAAGGGCATTAAAGGTGCTGCCAGTGAGGGCTCCTGGGAGATGAGGAACATGCTGTTGGAAACCGAAGGAAAAGATTCTGGTTCGAGAGTGGCAAAAAGCTTAGCAACATGGGGTCAGCAGCTGTGTGGAAAGCATTAGTTGTAAGGGATACACCGAAGACACTTGTTTGGTTGAAGAGATTTCCAAGCAGGGTGGGCCAGATGCGGCCTGCTTTCTTCTCGCCAGTTAAAGAGGTGAGAGGAGCCAGATAAATTGAGGACATACGTGTTAAAGAAAACAGGACTCAAAAATGACTTGCAGAGTCTCAGTCTACCGAAATGACAAAGGGCCTTAAGAGATTCCCTGTCGGGAAAGACGGCTCAGGGGAAAGAGAGGAGGGTGCAGCTATGGAACCTTTTGCTAATACCTGAGGAAGGCCTGAATTTTTTTTGTCACACTATAGGTTCTTTGAAGATATTAAGGGTGTGACCCATCGGTCCTCTCGGCCTTCTCAGAAAAAGCCACAAAGGGAGACGCGATCAGCTAGGAATGCTCTGTGCAGGGGCCTCTGGTCTACTGGACCGAACCCTAGTAACACGCACGCAAGATCCCCAAGTTTCTTCGGATGTCATACGGGCGGCTACTGCTCTCTTACGTTGAAATGGATGGAGATGTACGAAGTGAAAGACGGTCAGACTTCCCACAATTCCACAGGTAAGAAACAAGCTGATAAAACTGCTCAGGTGCCACCTTTCACAAGAAAGGAAAGACGGCTCTGGGAGGACACCACGAGCCTAGACGGTGCTGTGGGCCACAGAAGGCTGCACCCGGGATTTGAGACCTAATGGCGTGCGCATGGCTCATTTCTAAATTGCCTGGCATGGGTGGCTCTTTTTCTCATTTGCCTGAACAGGAAAGATGCCTATAAACCCTATTGTCTGCCTGTCCCACCATTCTATTTGGGAGCGGATAACTGTTTTTCTAGGTTCACAGGTGCACAGGTGGAGAGGACTGTGTCCCAGGAATCATGCCCAGACCCTCACTCACACTTGATTTAGAGGATTTCAAATGAGGCTTGGGACTTCTGAACCGGTGGGATCCAGGTAAGACTTTGCAGTCTAAGTCAATGCTGGAATGGGCTGACACTTTCGAGCATCTTTGGAAGGGGTGACTCTCTGTGGGATGCATATGGATCCTCGAAGCAGGAGTGGGCCGTGGTAGTCAGGACGGCCCCCAAAACGTCCCTGTTCCCATCACCGTACCCATAAATGTGTTACCTTACGTGGGAAAAGGATTTTTGCAGATGTGGTTAAGTTAAGCAACTCGAGATGAGACTTTTCTGGTAATTACGCTAGGTAAACCAAAGGTAGTCACAAGGGTCCTTGTAAGAGGAAAAGAGGAGAAATAAAGTCGGTAGTAAAGGACGAAGGACAGAAGCAGGCATTGGCGGGACGCAGCCAGAGTGAGGGATGCCAGCAGCCTCGGAAGAGGCAGAGAACAGACTCGCCCCTGGAGCCTCCAGAGGGAAGCTGTGATGTGCCACTTCGTGTGGGAAAAGGGACTCTTTAAAGATGCGCTAAGGTTACCACAGACCTTATAAGGGGGGAGATAATCCGGAATTATCTGGTGGGCCCAATCCAATCACATGAGTCCTTAAAAGCAGAGAACCCTTCCCAGTTGTTGTTAACGAGGTGTAATTAACGACAGAGAAGGGTCAGAGAGGCAGTATTCCTGGCTCTGAAGATGTAAAAAGGGGGCCATAGGCCAAGGAAGGCAGGTGGCCTCTAGAAGCTGGAAACATAAGGAAAAGGTTCTCCTTTAGAGCCTCTCAAAAGGAACACAGCCTTGTCAATGCCTTATTTTAGCCAGTGAGACCCATGGTGGACGTCCAACCTACAGAATTACAAGATCATAAATCTGTGCTATTTGAAGCCACTAAGTCTGTAGTCATTTGTTACAGCAGCCACAGAAAACGAACCAGGAGTGGTGACCAAAGATGAAATGGTATCTGGGAAGAAGAAAAAGCTTTTCTATCATTCCTGATGTAGCCTACCTCATTCGGGAAGTAGCTGGCTTTGGCAGAAATGCAAATATTTATGCTGGTAGTTCTTTAGATCCAGTCTGGCTGACGGAATTTACATTTCTGAATTTGTACACTCATTGTGCCCTGGAGTAGAATACATTCTGGGTTGAACACTTAGAACAGTGTTCAGTATATATAGTGGGTCCCCTAGCAAAATGTGTTGAATAAATAAATGAATGAGATCAAGACAGGCTCTGGGAGGGATTGTAATTACTCTAAAGTGCTGTTTAACAGATCTTCTCAAGAACTGCTGGCCTTTATGTCTTTGCTTCTGGTTTATGATGGTCATAGTTCTGTAAAATACAAGGCCAAACTGTATTTTTTGACACAGTAATATAGCTAAATCAGTAAAAAGGATGCGTACAATCTTAATAGGAGGAATAATTATATGATCAACGTATTTCAAAATCAGAACACATACTTTTCAGTACATGACACAGAAAAAATTTCAAACTATTTGATCACAAGATTTCTTGATGGCTGTTGCTCAATGCAGCAACTTTAGTGCAAATTTTACCAAACGCATTTATCAAAATGGGATTTTGTTCATTTTCTCTGCAAACAAATGTTGTTACATTAATACAGAGCATGTAACAAATTGGTTTGCCTGGACATTTACAGGCTATCAACATAAGCCAGCCCTGCAACTAAAACCTCAAACATATTTCTCTCAAAATCTATTCCTCGTCCAAATTCATCTATTCTAAGGCTGGAAGACAGAATGAGAATAAACCCAAAATTTATCTGTATAAATAATAAAAATAGTTTGTTTTCTTAATGCTATACGCATTTTCCTTATTATTATGGCACATTATCTTTCCTACATGCTATTGCATGGGTAGGAGCAATGTTATTTTAGCTGCTGGAGTATCACAGTATTAAGAATATCTGCTTCTTGTAGTGTCAGGCTTTCATCTGTTAGCTCTTTGTTTGGAAATGAAGTCACAAGAATAAAGTCAAGAGTTGCAAATTCAGGACGGGACTGTATAATAAAGTCCCGGACATCCAGGATCCTGAAGGAATAAGATAAGAATGATTTGTGATATTAAAAGTTTTATTTTAATGTAAGCTTTTAGCTAAAATTAGACGACGATAAGTCCTAACCCTTATTTAAATGTGTTGTAGCTTTTAAAAACGTACATTATTTCAATGGATGGATTTATCTTGGACTATAGATAAAACATGAGCATTCACTCTGAGTGTAGCTAATACTTCCTTTAACTGTAAACAGAGATAATCTTTAGGTGTTTTATACATAAAATAAACGTCAACAGTGTTATTAACACTTTTTTCAGAGTATAAAATATCTTAGCAGCAGACGGCCCAGAAAAAGGTACTTTGAGTGGCCTGGGTCAAGGTGAGTTTAAAACTACCAAAGGTGTAAGTCATAAGGATCATTTTAAAAAATGACTTTCACATATCCCTGGTAACTCAACTAAGATTATAAATATATCCCTTAGAGGGAATCAATGAACAAATAAAAATGGTACCTTATGAGTACAACAAAAGTACAAATGAATGTTAAAATGACATTGAAAAGTTTATTGACAGTGCTTGTTAATAGCACAATTATACTTTATCTACACCACAAATTTATATTATGAAGAATCTGCTAAGTAGAAAGTTAACTCCAATCAGAATTATAATTTTTAAATGAGTAAAGTCCAAATAAAGTTTTACTATATATACTATATTAAACCAAATTTGATCCCACTTATATGGTTTTAGCAACAGTGCAAAACTGCAACTTTTAACAATTTTATTTTGGAGAGATAACCTGAATTTGCATTAGTCTGTGAGCAGTTCACAGAGGATGTTCTAACACTGACCTTTCACACAGCTATGATCCTTTTATTTTCCTTCTGTCAAAAACATACTTAAAAAGTGTATCTAATGAATTTCCTATTCCTCTGCTCACGTCACATAGTTTTATTTGGATGAGGAACCACGTGTAAAACTGCGATCGAGCTCACCTGTGTGTACTATTGAATCTTTGTATCAAACGACTCCCATCTGCTAATCTGATCTGAATTTTTGTCGTTGGCACTGAATCATCAATGAGAACAACGGCGTTAAGTATGGACTTATCCTCCTCTTCAGGGGACGAAGGGGTACTGACTATTTCAGGTGTAAGGCTGAGAAGGAAGAATTGAAGAATTAGAACACAAGTCTGAATACGTAAGACGTGAAACAGTGAAGACAGTGGAATAACGACTGACATCCATAGCTGACTCTCAAGTTTTCCCGCCTGGGATCTGGACCAGCAAGAACACGGCTTCCTTTGGGTCTCCCATAATTCCTCCAACTTCTTTCATTATACTAAAATTATCGTGTATCCTAGGATTCTAATTTATGGTTTATCCAATCTCTTTCAACAGCTTAACTCTGTGGGGCGCCTGGGTGGCTCAGCTGGTTGAGCGTCCAACTCTTGATTTCAGCTCAGGTCATGATCTCACGGCTTGTGGGATCGAGCCCTGTGTCAGCACAGAGTCGGCTTGGGATGCTGTTTCTGTACTTTAATGCTTTCTGTTTAAAATAGATTCTGGGGGCGCTTGGGTGGCTCAGTCAGTTAAGCGTCCGACTTCGACTCAGGTCATGATCTCACACTTCTTCGTGGGTTCAAGACCCATGTCGGGCTCTGTGCTGACAGCTCAGAGCCTGGAGCCTGCTTCGGGTTCTGTGTCTCCCTCTCTCTCTGCCCCTCCACAGCTTGCACTCTGTCTCTCTCTCCCTCAAAAATAAATTAAAACATTCAAAAATAATAAATAAATAAATACATACATACATAAAAAACAAAAAACCAGATTCTGACCGTGGTGCCTGGGTGGCTCACTCGGTTGGGCGTCTGACTTCGGCTCAGGTCATGATCTCACGGTTCATGGGTTCGAGCCCGGCGTCCAGCACTGTGCTGACAGCTCAGAGCCCAGAGCCTATTTCTGATTCTGTGTCTCCTTCTCTCTCTGCCCTTCCTCCCCCTGCCTCCCCCCCCCCCCCCACCAATCTCACTCTGGCTCTCTGTTTCTCAAAAACAAAACAGGTTAAAAGAATTTTTTTTAAAAACAGATTCTGACCAGATAAGCTTCTTCTCAAAATATAAAAAGAAAGTACCAGGTGGGGAAACTAGGTAAGGAAAGCTGTTCAATGCATTTCTTTATAAGATGTGTGTATGTCAAAATGAATTTATGTGGAATAATAACATTTGAGAACAGGAATGGATTTACAAGAAGGTTTAGGCCAACCATATCACTTTATAGGAAAAAAACAGAGTCACAGAGATTGAAAGACATTTTCAAAGCCACAAAAGATAGTTAGCTGAGTAAGCTGGTTAGTAAGGTATAAAAACACATTTTAAAAAGTTGTGGCAGGGGCGCCTGTGTGGCTCGGTCGGTTGGGCGTCCGACTTCGGCTCAGGTCATGATCTCACGGTCCGTGAGTTCGAGCCCCGCGTCAGGCTCTTTGCCGACAGCTCAGAGCCTGGAGCGTGTTTCAGATTCTGTGTCTCCCTCTCTCTCTGCCCCTCCCCTGTTCATGCTCTGTCTCTCTCTGTCTCAAAAATAAATAAACGGTAAAAAAAAAAAAATTAAAAAAAAAAAAGTTGTGGCAACTTTAATATTTAGCCTTCAAAGTTATACCTCTTTGTTACTTATTAAAACATTCTCCTTATCATTCAACTGATCAAAATAGGATGACATTTTTGATACACTGTTTGTATGGTTCAAGTATTACGTTAAAAAGAAAAGGAAGAGAAAGAGGGAAGTTAATTGATAAAACAAACTCTCCAGGCAAACTGGAGGGAAGGACGGAGGTTGTCTGGAAGGAGAGTGAGTCTCTTGGTCAGGCGGAGAAGCATCTTCTAACTTAAGAGAGGGCAGTAAGCATGGATTTCCTAAACTTGGAGGCTAAGAGGAATATATTCAGAAACTTAATTCCGGTCAGGCTCCGTTTTCTCAGGGAAGCTGGAAGCAAAAAAAGTCTGCTGAGGGCAGGAAACATTTGGGGTGAGCCCTCTGAGAGTGGGAGCGGGCAGCTTGCCTGTCCGGCATGGGGGCGCCCGGCATGGGGGTGCGAACATCCCCGACAGTGCTGGGCTGCACAGGGGCAGACAAATCCACAGGCTGCACAGCAAGGCAAGGGGCTGCAGAATTGCTGAGATAAGAAAAGGAAGAAAAGGCAGGAAGGGAAGGATTGTTAGATTTTAGAGGACAGAGCCCTTAGGGTCCAGGGGTCGAGATGAAGTCCAAACTCAGAACAGGTGAGTGACAGGTGGGTTCTTTTGCACGGCACAGTATGAGAACAGGCAGCCACTGTTGTTAAGCAGAGAGATTTGCTTCAAATCATGATTTGCATCATCATACACACAAGCTCACAAACCTACAGCGACGGTCACTTACTAGCCCTGCTTATCAGAAACGATTCTGTGATTTCCTGGGTCTTGTTGGGTTCTACTCCAGCTCACGAATTTTTATGCAGGAAAACAGTTTATTCTGCCACTGTACATTTGTAGCTTCAAACCTATGATCTGCTTGCTCCTACGATATTACACGAAGGAACTAGGTTAATATTTTTATTGCATTTAGGTTTTCCTATATTTGTCATATCCCAGTAAAAAATTAAGTTAGCTTCCATCTGTGTAATGTTCTTATATGTATTTTTAAGTTTATTTATTTTAAGAGAGAAAGAGGGAGAGAGAATCCAAAGCAGGATCCGTGTTGTCAGCACGGAGCCCGACACGGGGCTTGAACTCACAACCGTGGGATCCCGACCTGAGCTGAAATCAAGAATCGGTAGCTCCACCGACCGAGGCTCCCAGGCACCCCTATCTTGTGTAACGTTCTGTCTGCAATTCGACTGACGGCTATGGAAAACAATGGACTTATTTCCATTTCTGTTTTGTTTGCCTCTGTTTTGTGATTTCTGTTCAGTCGTCATCTGGAATTCTTAGGAAATGAGCCATTTTAGAAAGTTGCTTTCTGAATCTGTAAAGGTGAACTGTTAGAGAACTTTTATATTTTAACAGACTTCTTAACGTAAAGCCTTCTGAAACGTCCTATGTAGTTCTTCACTTTCTGAGAACGTAACATATACTCTACTACTCTACGTTTCGATTCATGTGCATCCGAGAGGCTCACACCACCATGTTAATCTCCTAGTGTCGTTTCCTACACAGAAGCTGAAAATTCTGAAGACTACATTTCTCAGACGCCCTCGCAGCGAGAACGTAAGCATTACGAGGCCAACGTTTTGCAGCTCTTCTGGTCCCCAAGGTCTTGGGAGGCATTTGATTCTTCTACAGCAGCCATGACAGAATGTTCCAGTGTTTGGTCCCTAGCTTCCATGGGCACTGAGCAGCTGAGGGGGACACAGGAAGTCGTCACTCTAGAAAGTTCTCTGTTGCATTTGTTTCTTCCAGGAAAGCTTGATTTGCTATTTCCAGAAATTCTATAAACTATCCAGGGTTCTGTCAGAAGCCCCTTTTTAAGCAAGTAAGTGGATTCTGTTTTCTACACTCGAAAACCCTGACCAATATGGCTAATGATTAATAACACAGCATTATCACCACTTATTTTTGTCATTTTGTCAGGTATTTTTTGTCATATATTTTGTCATCATTACCTCCTTTCTTTGGGGGGGTCATGTTCTCTAGCTAATTGCCTTATGAGAAGAAAGACTGGTCTTTGTAAGATACAACAATGAGATAACACCCTTATTTTTATGAGTTGAAACTGTCGATTGTAACCACCGGCTCGTCTCAGCTGTCTTTCCCTTTATGCTACTTTCTTCATTTTCAGTTCTAGATTTACTGTTCTACTAACCAAGGTGTGCACTGTAACATTAATTCTTGGTCATAAATTTAAATAAAAAAGAAAGACTATGTACAAAGCAGAGAGATGGCTGGGCATTTTACCTGTGTTCTAAATTAAAAATCAGAATCTGACTAAACATCAAGAAATGAGGAGTGCTACATCTGAAGGTCACAGTTTTAAAAACAAAAGAGAGGAAGAAAACCGTCAGGAGAAAGCTGACCCGTGTTAGTGGTAAGGAGAGAGAAGGGAGAAAATTTCCAAACAGATCTGTGAGTGGGCACTGAAGGCTTTGGGTCCTAAGAGAAGCCAGGGCCACACATGTCCCTGTGTTCCCTACCTGTCTCAGAAGTCAGTGTCTGTCAGGAGAAAAGGATACAGAAAGGGAGACTCAAGGTATGAGAGATGAGCATAAAGAACCGACGTGAATTCTTCCCTATTTTGAGAAACGCGAGGGGAATAGCGAACCAGTGTGCACGGAAAAGAACCTGGATGGGAAGGAATCACGTGGAAAGGAACAAAGGACGCACTGAAAAGGCTGTGATGGAAACAAGGCCCGTGTTACTATTTTACGTGTCACTCGTAATACGTGGACAAAGACAGGGTGACTTTTACCAACAAAGTTCGCAAGATTTCTGAAAATTGTCTTAAGCCACGGCTATCATAAAGGAGTCCGCTCACACACACAAGATGCCACGCACATTGGTTTCTGAACCGTATGCGCCAAAGTCCTAGGGGCTCTTTAGAAACATCTCCAGAGCAATGCCTTCCTTCTGCAATCCAAGCTCAGGTCGTGTGAAATGTTCTCCGTGCTGGGTTTCCCTAACTTGAAGAAAGGGTTTGGTGGCTTTAAATGTGCTGAACACAAACCAACCTCAGCACACAGCTCCTGCTGCGAGAGCTTAGCAGTGCCTTATGGCGGACAGGCAAGCTCACGGCTGAGACCTAAGATGCCGACTGTCTCATCTGATCAACAACCCTTTACAATCTCCCCTTGTGTGCCCGTGTAATCAGAAAGAGGCAGGACCGCACAGGGGTCAAAAGCACCAGCTCGAGCCAGAGTGTGGGGTCTGAGTCCCACAGAGCAACCACTTCCCAGACCCGTCGCCTTGGGTAGACTGCCGCGGCAGCAGGTGAAGTCATCACAGGCTCTATAACCAAGAGTCGTGAAGATTAAGTGACTTCATGTATTTTAAGGTGTTTCCTGGGCCAGGGATGTGGTGACTGCTATCTAGGTATGAGCTACCAACATTATCACTAGATTTGCATATGTAATTCTACCGGCAAGGCCTTCGCAGTTCACGTTTTAGTTTTTACTTTCTAGGTTGTTTTGCTTTTGTTATTCTCGAAGAAAACTCATGCTGGACAAAGACAAGTATTTTTCTCATTTTAGGATTTTACCTTCCAAGTTTTTGTCCTTCTCCACTGAAAGCCTTAAACCTCAGTCTAGGTTTTATGTATTCTTGATCCCGACGGTCCTCCATATCCAAATTCACGTGGCCACCGTGAACCAGCCGCTGAAGCTCCAGGGGAATCTCTCTTTTAAAAAGGGAAAAAGGTTTTAGTTCACTTAAAAAAAAAACCTAATCTACACTGTTGACATTATTACAATCAAGTTGCGAGCTACTCTGGGAAACAGTTATAATACAGAAATTCCCACGATGATGGATTAGTCCCTTTCTTCTTCAAGCTGCCTCACATTATGATGCCTCCAGCTTTGCTTTTCTATTTCAAAATTGCTTTGGCTACTCGGGGTCTTTTGTGGTTCCATTTACATTTCAGGATTGCTTGTTCTGGTTCTGTGAAAAATACTGTTGGTATTTTAACAGGGATTGTGTTAAATGTATGGTTTGCTTTGGGTAGGACAGGCATTTTAACAGTATTTGCTCTTTCAATCCGTGAGCCTGGAAGGTCTTCCCATTTCTTTGTGTCATCTTCCAATTCTTTCACAATGAGGTATTTCACCTCACACCTGTCAGAATGGTTAAAATAAAAAAACACAAGAAACAACAGGTGTTGGCCAGGATGTGGCAAAAAGGGAACTCTCTTGCACTGCTGGTGGGAATGCAAACTGGTGCGCCCGCTCTGGAAAACAGTATGGAGGCTCCTCAAAACATTAAAAATAGAACTACCCTGTGATCCAGCAACTGCACTACTGGGTATTTATGCAAAGAATATAAGAACACTAATTCTAAAGGATACACCCACCCCTATATTTATAGCAGCATTATTTACAGTAGCCAAAACACGGAAGTAGCCCAAGTGTCCACTGACTGATGAATGGATAAAGATGTGCTGTATATACCCAATGGAATATTAGTCAGCCCCCCCCAAAAAAAAAAAACAAAAAAAAAGAACGAAGTCTTGCCGTTTGCGATGATGTGGAAGAAGCCAGAGTATTACGCTAAGTGAAATACTCAAAGACAAATACCATATGACTTCACTCATATGTAGAATTTAAGAAACAAGACAAACAACCAAAGGAAAAGTGAGAGATAAACCAAGAAACAGACGGTTAGCTACAGAGAACACACGGATGGTTATCAGAGGGGAGCTGGTGGGGTATGGGTGAAACAGGTGAGGAGGCTAAGGACTGTACTTGTGCTGAGCACTGGGTGATGTGGGAATTGTTGGATCGTTATATCGTACACCTGAAATGCATGTAACACCGTATGATAACGATACTGGAATCAGAATTTGTAAAAAAGTTGTATCACATTATTCCTTAGTGGTTCTCAATACAGGGACTTTTTGTCATCAGTGATCCTGGAGTGCTTCTAACATTCAGAAAGCCAAACTGTAAGCTGGCAATTTATCCCTAAATAAACACTAGCAAATTCCTATGAGGACATAAGAGTTAATATAGATATTTACTTCTAAACTCTCTGGAAGAAGCTGAAGTTTAAAAATCGATAGGTGTCTTTGATTGTCGAGTGATTCGCGAGTGCTGCCGTACAGGGTCGGGACCCAGGTATGAGAATGGTCTGCCACAGGGGTTCTGTTTGCCGAATCAAGTCTTGTCTTGGGTTCCACAGAATCACTGAATGCCCTGCCTGAGACTCACATGGATGACAACACTGTCGGTAACGTCCGAGTCTAGAACTTCAGGCTTCGGGTCTGTCTTAGAAAAAAGCAAGACACTTTTTGGGGGGCGGGGAGCATTGTATTAATGTACTTCGAAAATTTCAGGAATATGTGTATCATATAAACAGAGAAGACTGCACTTTGGTTTCCTTGGAGCTTTACCAAGCCCCTGACTTCAACGCCACTGATGGTAATTATGTTGCCAAACTCACACACCTCATCATTCTGCGTTTATGTCGGTCACATTTTCTTTGAGAGGTGTAAGACTGCACATAGGTGCGAATTATCTGACTACTATAATTTTGTCTTCTGGTGTGGTCAGATGAAGCAGTTACAAATTAAAATATGTACAATTTTATGATAAATTACTTTCCTTTATTTCAATACATTTAAAGTAAATTTTAGATCATTTTTTGGGGAAATAATATGCAGGGGCAGATTATGTCATCTGTGAGTTCTTCTTTGAGGACAGTGAAGGTGGTGGCACAAAATATTTGTCATAAAAAGAGGAAGGTGATTCTACAGTTGCCAACTACTATCTCATATCAAATCACTGTTTTCAAGGAGTCTTTTTAAAAACTGTTCTTGATCATAATTTTACTTCAAATTAAAACTCCTTTCAGGATACCACGACTGCTTGAATATTAGTCCATAAAGTTTGTGGATTATTTTCATTTAAGAATAAATGAGTTTTGGTCTACATTATAGTACATCCAACACCAGCATGGTCTTGTCTTCCACCATCTTGAAACAAGCATCAATTTCAACAGCAATGTTGATTTTCCCTTAGCAGATCTTCACTTTCCCTAACCAGCTGCTCCCAGCTCTTCCCAGTGACTGCAGGTCTCCCGGTCCACAGCACTGTCTTAAACTATTATTTCCTCATATTTACCCTCGCCACATACTGCCTTCTAGGACAGCTTCCCACCTTTCTCAAGGACTTCAGCATATCACCTACAGCACTTTTTGGTATCCAAACATTATCTCTGTAGAATTCAAATTCAAAATTCATGCTGATTAGTGTTCTAAAAATAGAGGTTCTCGACTCCCTCAACGCCAATGAGTTTCACCTCTACTCCACTTCAGCCACTCTCCTTGGACGTATTTACATCACTTGGAAAAGCCCCAGCTTCAGTTCCTGGATGGAGCATCAGCTCCTACTCCAGCCCCTTCCCTGCTACTTAAATCTCCCACTTACTCACCAACCTTCTCCGTTTAGTTGCGTTTCTACTTAGGAACGATCACATTGATGCAGAAAAGCTTTCATAATCATAGCAAAATCACTTGATGCCTCATCCTTTAGCAAGAAGGGCTGGTGAGCTATGATGTTCGTTAGATGGGTCAGAGCATCGTATAGATGGTTTGATTTCACGAACCACTACCCCAACTAACCTTTTGAAATCTTCTGCCAGCAGTAAAGCCACCTTAAAAATGTTAATATAAGTTGCTGAATTTCAGGTACACATACAATGAGAGTCATCCTGTTAATGGTAAGCAGGAGAGTGGCTTAGTGGATGGACAGCTGCATGCTAATCAATGCACTGACTTATTACATTAAGAGGTTTCTTCCTGGAACTGGGACCATAGCTTGATCAGATTTTGGAAGGGGCCAATGTCTACTGTCCCTCCCCAGCAAGTTAAGAACCAGAGACTTACAGATACCCTTTAGATATTTAAAGATACCCTTCCCTCAGCAACCACTTACATAATACATCCCAGCATCGTGAAAAAGTCCCACCCTAAGTGACAAACAGAACACATACATCTTACCCTTTTTTAACAGACTCCAGAAATTGAGCATTTGGTGGGTCGTGATAAGGTCTCAGTTCTCCATCATCTAAACTGAAACCATTGCTCCACAGTTTAAGCAAAATCTGAACCTTTTGGGCATAGGAAAAAAGACAAAGGCATATAAGAATCCATCTTACTGAACAATCTTAAGCTTCCAATGTGATATTTCACAACATATTAAGCCACCCACTTTATTTAAAACATGGGAGTTATTATTTTTTATTCACAGTTAAAATAAAGACATAAATGAAAGCATGTGTTTGCCAGGCAGATTTGTATGTAGCTTAACAAATCAACAATGGCTGAAATACCAGAGGTCCCACAGCTAGACCCTGGCCTTGAAGTACAATTATTCTGGGTCACCGAGCAAATGAAAGGATTGAGAGCATACAGCTGTCACTCCACACCCACCCTTCTCATTCATCTGTACCCACACTCCTGTCTGCTATAGGGCTTAACCAGTTATGTCAAGGGGCAAGAGAGAATTTCCAATGACCCTCCAAGGCTAAACTATACATATTTAAATGAAATTGTAACTCCAAATTTTAAAAGGCATAAACAAAGAATGACTGTTTACAACTCAGCTATTTCTATATTCTGACAGTCTACCACTAAGGGTAATTATTATCGTATGTACGTAAAGCTCATTTTGATAGTGAATCATACATTCTTTCAACATATAGAAAATATTTACAATCTAAGTACAAGGCATAAGGGAGATACAAAATATAAAATGTGAGACTAAAAGCTTACACATTGATCCTTTTAAAATCCATGCTTCAAAAAATAACAGAAAAGAGATTATATTATCAATTTTTAAATTTAAAACAGCAGTAACTAGAGGCAAATGTCTACAATTTTTCATTTTGGCTACTATACCTACATCTTGCAGTTGGTTTTCTCCATAGATGTATTCAGACCGCTTACAAAAGGAATTGCCCAATCTATATCCTCCACCTGTAAATGACTAAAATACACCGCAAATGAGCGAAAAATTCACTAAGGTTTATAGTGAAAAACGTTATGATAATGTATGATATATATTTTAAAACTAGATCAGTTATAATTAGCCCAACTGGTTTGCACTTTCGAGGAAAACTTTTTATTTAAATGAAGCTCTTATGTTACAGAGAAGTATACTCAAGTAAGATACTATGTTTCTTCCCTAAAAACATTAGTGACTTGAGTTGAAATAATTTAGACCAATCTTAAATTTAAAAATGCATTTACAGGGGCGCCTGGGTGGCTCAGTCGGTTGGCGGCCGACTTCGGCTCAGGTCACGATCTCGCGGTCCGTGAGTTCGAGCCCCGTGTCGGGCTCTGTGCTGGCAGCTCAGAGCCTGGAGCCTGTTTTGGATTCTGTGTCTCCCTCTCTCTCTGCCCCTCCCCTGCTTGCTCTCTGTCTCTTTCTCAAATAATAAACATTAAAAAAAAATTTTTTTAATGTATTTACACACTGAAATATCTAATTTCAAGTACAAACAGATTTTAAAAAGCCACCATTCATATTTTATGTCTTATTATAAAAATTATGTTTAAATCATATTTCACAAAGTAAATAACAGTTTCACAGAGCTAAGGAAGAATTTTATAAATGGGTATAAATTACTCTGAAGAAAGGCTGTATATTTATTTTATAAGCTGCTTTTATTCAACTGTTGCAGTCAACTATGATTGTACTTTTTGTTTTATTACACTGATCACAAGGTCTTCTATTTTTCAGGGAGGAAGGCTTACGAAGTAAAAATACCATTCCTTTTAATCACTTTCCATATCATAAATACGCTTTTAATGATCACATTCCTTTCTTTTCTACAGACTAAACAATCCATAAAAAGAAAAAGATACATCGGACTTCGTCAAAACTAAAAACTTCTGTTCTGTGACAAGCCCTGATAAGAGGGTGAAAAGACCCGACTACCATCTGGAAGAAAATATCTGCGATCCAGGGGCACCTGGGTGGCTCAGTCAGTTAGGTGTCCAACTCGATCTCAGTTCAGGACATGATCTCCGGGTGGCATGACTTTGAGCACCGCACGGGGCTCTGTGCTGGCAGCAAGGAGCCTGCCTGGGATTTTCGCTCTCTCTTCTGCCCCGCCCAGCTTGCGCTCTCTTAGTCTTTCTTCCAATACATATATATACACACATATACATATACACGCGCATGTACGGATATATATATATGATATAGATTTATAAATGTATGTAAGTACGCATAAGTATAAATACATATGTAAATACATATACATATGTATGTAAATATAAAAATATATATGTATATTTGAATGCATATATTTGACAAAGGACTCATACCTATTGAAATCTCTAAAGAACTTCCAAAACTCAACAGTAACAAAAATCCAATTTGAAAAGAGGCCGGGGCGCCTGGGTGGCACAGTCGGTTGAGCGTCCGACTTCAGCCAGGTCACGATCTCGCGGCCCGTGAGTTCGAGCCCCGCGTCGGGCTCTGGGCTGATGGCTCGGAGCCTGGAGCCTGTTTCCGATTCTGTGTCTCCCTCTCTCTCTGCCCCTCCCCCGTTCATGCTCTGTCTCTCTCTGTCCCAAAAATAAATAAAAAAACGTTGAAAAAAAAAAAATGAAAAGAGGCCAAAGTCATTTTGCAGTGGGGGAGAGGAAAGATAATGGCAAATAAACACATGAAAAGATGTTGCACACCACTAGCCACCAGGAAAACGCAAAATGACGTCACTGGCCGTTAGGAAAGCGCCAACGAAAACCACAATGAGTTACAACCACACACTTACCACAATGGCTAAAATTTGAAATCGCGACAATACCAAACCCTGGCGAGAATGGACAAACTGGCTCTGCCGTTCACTGTGAAGAGTTCGGCAGTTTCTAAGAAACTAAACATACGCTTACCTTATGACCCAGCAACTGGACTCCTGGGCATTTATCCCACAGAAAGGAAAACTGACATCCACACGAGAATGTGGACACGACTGCTCACAGCAGCTTTATCTGTAATCGTCCCAAACTGGAAACACCTCAAACGTCCCTCAGTAAAGCAAAAGGTTCGACCAACTGTGGCACATCGATACCATGAAGTGCTACTCTGGACTAAGGAGAACCAGGTACTGAGACGCTCAGTAACTCCGATGATCTCCAGGGCATGGAGCGGAGTGAAGAAAAGCTAATCCCAAAAGGTCACATACTATTACTGTATCATCCCACTTGTATGACGTTCTCAGCGTTACGACGTTACGGAGTTGGAGAACAGGGTTAGGTGGCAAGAGGTTAGGGATGGGAAGAGGGTGTGACCACAGCGGGGTCCGCCATGAGGGAGATCCTCGTGATGGCAGAGCGGTACCTTGACGGGGCTGACAATTACACAAATCTACACGTGAGAAAACGACACAGAACTATATATGTACATGGTACCAGCGTCAGATCTTGGCTTTGATTCTGTACAATTATGTAAGATAGAACCACCGGAGGAAACTGGGTGAAAGGCACGTAGAACCTCTTTGTGTGCTTTTCGCATATTCATGTGAATCTATAATTATTTTTTAAGGAAGGGTAAACAGGCAAGTTTCACAGAAACGTAAAAACTTGCTGCGACTTTCAATCATTAATGGATTATAATCTTATAAAAATAGAGCAAATGTTTAAAACAGAAACATGTAGTCAGAAAACAATGCTTCCAAATAAGATAAAAACCTATAGACGAGATCAAATATATAAACAGTGTATTTCAGTTTTAAATTCAGCACTTACCTTAGATTTGTTATCACCTGAAGCTCTTGTGGCTTCATTCAGAGGGACAGCCCCATGTTCTCTTGCCTCTTTGAAAAGTTCACTCACAATCTTCCCAGTTGAAGGTTGAACTATATGTAATCCACTGTATTCACGTTCACTTGAATAGAACCTTTCGACATTAAAGTTCATGAAGAAAAACTCAGAATGCAAACATAAACTCCTTTGAAGTAAAAAGCTACAGTCTTAGGACATGACCTTTGTTTAAGAAGAACCATTTCTATGACTTCTGTGGAAATTCTTAATTTTAAAAATGGGATTAAGGAATGAAATAGTAAATGCTTCATACACTTTCTCCTGATGGGGTTTGTGGGGAGTATGGCAGTCAAATTCACATCCCACACGAGAACTGGCTTGTCAATTCTCCCATCCCCTTTCTGTAAGTGCTTAGCAAACGCATCTCTCGCACAACGTGGGCACTCTTGGTGTGGTGGGCAAAACAGCGCTTACAATCAGAATTAAGTCTCTTCCCCTGATGAATCCACATTCAGTAGGGACCTACTTAGTGAAGGGACCTACTCCCACACAGGGAATTTATTCCTCAGAGACTTTTGGATTCAAAAATTATAATTCCCTGTATCAAAGGTACATAATGTAGACCACAATTTTTCCAGTGTATCAGCTACATAGTGACTAATTTCTAGTCTGACTCCAACTTCATAATGGTCCTAGGGAACATAAAATTCACATCATGTTTTACATAAGATTTTACCTATTTTATCTTTCAAGATTTTTTTTTCAGTCAAGAGTATCAGAAAATATAACCAGTGAAATATCAACATGGAGACAACCAGAATAAGATAACAAACCTCATATGTTCAGTTCTAAATCTGTCCTGAACTGACTCACAAAACAAAGAGGGGAAATTACATCAATACTGCAGGCTGAGAATAGCCTTTCTAGAAGACTTTCTGCAAAATTAGTATATGGAAAACGGGACAGAAAAGACAGAATGGCAGAATGGCTCTTAATTCACTGTAAGCGAAGGAAAAAATCCACCTGGAGAACAGGTGGGCACCATCAGAACCCTGCGAACACAAGACCAGCTCGTGATTGCTGAGGACAGGGGTGCGGTGGGCTGGACCCCATCCTGCTAGGGCACTAGGCAAGCACAGAGGTGAGTCTGCCCAGAGCAGCAGACAATGGAAGCCTCAGGGGCCAAGCTTATCCTCAGAGGGCCGGATAGATCAGGCAAGGCCGAACAGTGCCACAGCTGGCTCTTAAGGCGAGTGGTGGTACACGGTGGGGTAGCAGAGGATTTAAGGCAGCTGTGCGCAAGGAAAGGAAGAGGAAGGAGGAAAGGAAAACAAAAAGAAAAGCTGCCTGGTGCAGCTATTTCCTGTTGTAGCTCCTTCCCATGTCTCTATTCTGGAAAGCACAACTATGTATTTCCTTTTTAGCTCAGTCCTGGTTACAAAGACCTTACGGGAAAAATGTGACATGGGAAAGGATTTACTAGTTCCTTTATGGTTAATATTTTCTTTCCTGTTTAAGAAACCTTTGCCTACCTGAAGGTCGTAGAGATATTCCCCTTTCTTCCAGAAGTCTTATTTTATTTTTCTTATTATATGTTATTTCCCTATTTATATTTCCTTTTATATTTAGATCACAATCCATCCGTCTCTCCTCTTTCATAATTAAGTACGCCTATATCCTTGACTCTTGTCCTCAAACGTGAACTCCTCTGATCATCAAAACATTTGTGCACTTCCCTAGGTAACGACCTCTTCTACAGGCGATTCTCAAGTATGTTTTTAGCCTCCTGTGACTTACGGGGTCCAGGGCTGAACTTAAAAGCACCTACTGAATCGAATTCATCTCTCCAAAACTAAACCTGTATTCCGCACACAAATCTTCTCATGAACAGTCACATTTTTTCCCTGTACATCCTGTAGGTCTCTTTCCTACTCAGTTGCTCCCTATATCCCACGTTACCATGTTTCTACAGTAAATTCTTTGGAAGTATCCCACACTGATTGTACTCTTTCTCCTCCATTCCACTGACGCCACTTGAGTCCAAATTTTTATTGCCACATTTCTTAGATTACCGTCACTGTTTTCTTCTTAATTTCTCTCCTTATCTTGTTCTCCCCATTACTATTAATTTTACACTGTATCGCCAGTCCTATTTTTCTAAAATATATAACAATAGCTAACACTTATCAAGGAGTAACTATGTGCTCATTTAATCCTCATAACAGTGGTATTATCTCTGATTTACAGAGAAAACTAAGGCTTAGGGAGTTTCAAAAACTTGTCCATTGGCAAAACCTTATTAAAACAGAGAGGAAAAAAAATTAGAACTGAGGTGTATCTGTCTCTAGAAACAAAGCTTTTCTCACTGTGTTGCAGTTTTTAGCATAAAATTTACATTAAAAAACATATGCTGGCTTTCCATTGCCTTCTACACAAGTACAAGCCCCTTTGGCATTCAAGGCTGTCTGCCCATAACGTGGCTCTATCCAGGTCTGGCTATGTAATTTGCGGGGCTCAGTGCCAAACGAAAAGGAGTCTCTCTGCTCAAAATTTGTTAGGAATTTCAATATAGTAACGGCACAACACTAACCCCAGCACGGGGCCTTTCGCAGCATGGGGCTGTGTGTGAATGCGTAGGTCACAAGGCCAGGAAGCACTCTATCTAGCCAACCTTATCTGCAGCTGGTCTACTAAAGTTCTGCTAGCTCCTACTCGGATCCCTCTCATCATACTTACCATTTTCTCCTCTGTGCCCATTTGTTTAGGAACCCTGTCCCTTGTCTTTTGTGGTACCTGTATCCTAATAATCTTTTAAGGTCCAGCTAGGTTCCAACACTGTGCTAGTCATCTTAAACACTTATCCCATTTAATTCTCAAAATAAAACTACTGCCTGATGACTCAAAAGAACTTTTTTTTAAGTTCTCAAATTTTTGAATAACTCCAATTTCATAGTCGTCCAGTGTGAACAAGGAGGCACATTGTTTTTAGGTTCTGTTAGATGTCAACTTTTGCAGACGAATATGTTAAAGCTGGTGTCAGGCTATCTTCTGAGTTCTGTAGATTCTATCCCTCCTCTCCTAAATTACAAACATAGACCACATTACGTGCAGAGTTCCAGACAGTGAAAATATACTGGATTTAAAAATGACAATGAGCAGAGAAATAATTTGATATGCAATTCTGCCCAAGAAAGTGAACCATGAAAATAAGCAGGTCTTCTGTACCAAATAAAGCAGCAGAAATGCAATGAAACTGAGTATATGTCAATGTGGAGGATGGAATGAAAAGAATTATATACTTAGTATTAGGAAATAGCATACTGAGTTAAAAAAAAAAAAAAAGATCGCCAATAACTTGCTTCATTGTATTCTAAGCAGATTAAACACAGCTTAAGCCTCAGTCAATATCTTTTAGGGCAGCTTCTCCTTTTGGGTATGTAAATATTTCCAGAGATCAAATCTGAGGCACAAAGTTCTTCAAAATGGCATTACCAAATTGCAACTATTAATGGCAACACTGTTTCAGACAGGACAAAATAAAAGAGAAAAAAACCATTCATTAAAATATCTTAAAGATTCAGGTGCCTGGGCAGCTCAACTGGTTTTGCATCTGACTTCCACTCAGGTCATGATCTCACAGTTCGAGCCCCACATCAGGCTCGCTGCTGTCCAGCCTGGAGCCTGTTTGGAACCACTGCCTCCCACTCTCAGCCCCTAACCTGCTTGTGCTCTCTCAAAAATAAATAAACATGAAAAAAAAAATCTTGGGGCGCCCGGGTGGCTTAGTCGGTTAAGCATCCGACTTCCGCTCAGGTCATGATCTCAGGGTCCATGAGTTCAAGCCCCGTGTTGGGCTCTGTGCTAACAGCTCAGAGCCTGGAGCCTGCTTCAGATTCTGTGTCTCCCTCTCTCTCTGCCCCTCCCCTGCTCATGCTCTGTCTCTCAAAAATAAGTGTTAAAAAAAAAAAAAAAACTTAATGATTATATTTGAATAGCAAGGAAAACATTAATACACTAACCTTATTATAAGTAGTCAACTATTTTGTTATATCGTAAACAAATTAAGTTGTTCAAAATACGCTCAAGTTGGCGAAACAATGGTCAAACAGTTAAAGAATAAAACTTTGGTACTTAAATATTTTAAGTATTTTCAAAACTTTGGAGAATGTGTAAGTCAAGAAGTTAAAATATATTGTATATATATTTTACATATATATGTACATACACATATACGTGTCAAAAATGAAAAGGACAGGATATTCAAACAGTGCCAAGATACCAAGCTGCCGATGTACAAAAGAAAAACCGTGTCTTACAACGGAATGATGTGGTGATCTGCCCCTTTATCAAGTGAACATATCACCAATAGTGAGAAAATCTGAAATTACATATGGCTCCTGATGTGATATAATACAGGGCAGACAGTATCACTTACTAGTATCCTTGACAAATATGTTTAACAAGAATCTAATGGTGAAGAAACAATGACCTTGAATGTCAATGTAATGAATTTTGGATTATACAGCTGAGCTAAGAGCAAACAATGAACAGATGAGGAGGAGAATGCTCTGGATTCAGATTCAAAACCAGCACAATCAAGTGGATGGCATGGCCATTGGTTAGATCCTAAATCCAAAAAAGGCTTGAAGAGATATTTATGGACTAGACATTACAGGATTTCAGGAAATTACTGTTCATGTTCTCAGCTGTGATATGTTACCAGGTGATAAAGGTGTATGTGCCTCTTTTTAGTGGACAGTCTATTGAAGTATCTAATGAAACGTTATGATGGCTGCAATTTGCTTCCAAGTAGTTGAGTAAGAGAGTGTTTTTACAGATGTAATGCTGTAACATGTTAACAACCGGGGAATATAGGGAAAGCATATACAGCATACATTCATTGTACTAATCTTGTGATTACCTATGGGTTTGAAAATTCATAAAATAAAAAGTTTGGGGACAAATTTTCTTTCTTCTCATTCATGTCCAAAAAAGGTACATCATTTTTATCTCCCCTACAGAAAAAAGGATGTGGAGTAGTGACAAACAAAAAAGAAAGGATAGTTTCTAGTGAAGTCTTAAATTTCTGGTAAAATGACAGACCTTCTGTGAATGAGATATAATGGAAAAATTCCAAGTTTCTCCACAGTGATGAAATTCGCAGTATTAAAATGACATTAATGAAAACATTGCTAGAAACAGGAAAACTCATGGTAATGAAGTATACCTGGCTCTCATCTCTTAAATCTAGTGGTTTTCCTTCTAGTTCAGGGGTTTAACAATAGCAAACACTGTCTAAGAGATCACTTATTTGATGGGTCATCATCCGTGAAAGCACAGACAGGTTCCCGAAGTTCTAGGTTCTTAAATGGAGGATAGAAGGCATATAGGGACTCCATGAGTGGGTTTTCAGAAACACAAATCCTTAAAAACAATTAATAAAATTGTGCGTAAATGCTATCTTGTGGGGAGATGGGCTATAGCTTTTGTCATATCCTCAGTGTGTCCTATGACTCAAAAAGGACCACAGTGTCCAACAAAAATACTATTCAGTGTGTATTTCTTTATGATGTCTACCAAAGTATCAGGACTTTAAGACAATTTTTCCATAAGTATGTTTTAGCCTTCTATTATTGTTCTAGGAATACTACCTAAATAATACGTACTTTAGAAATTATAGTTTTAGAAAAAATTCCCAAGGCCATTTAAAATAAGAGGATTGGTGAACTAAAAAGAAATGCAATGTTTAAAACCAAAACAAGACAAAAACAAAACAAAACTTACCTCTGAGGTGGTGTTCGTGGGCTTTTAAAGACTGCAGCATTAGGTCTATCAGATTTGGAAGATTTGCATTTCACTTCATCTTCATATAATTCCGCCAAGGCCAACTATAAAACAACAGATTTGTTATGAAGTATAACTAACCCTAGGAATGAACTCTTACAGACAAGTAGAAACGAAGAGTAGAATATTAACTTGTGATTGAGTCGTAAATTTTTTTTAAGTTTATTTATTTATTTTTGAGAGAGAGACACAGAGAGAGAGAGAGAGAGAGAGAGAGCGCGCGCGATCAAGGGAGGGACAGAAAAAGAGAGAGAAAGAGAGAGAAATAGGGAATCCCAAGCAGGCTTTGCACTGTCAGCGCAGAGCCCCATCTGGGGCTCCATCCCAGGAACCGTGAGCTCATGACCTGAGCTGAAATCAAGAGTGGGTCGCTTAACTGAGTGAGCCACCCAGCTGCCCCTGAGTTGTAAAAGTTTTAATGAAAAATAAAGGCTGCTGCTTCAGAGGACCTCCTTCCAAAATAAAACCAAAGTATCTCTCACTTGATAAAACTAATCAAAATGCCACATACACTAGAATAAATTAAAGTCACAATAACTGCTTAATTGTTTTCAAGTAACTATTCACCTGTTTCAAAAACTGCATTTGATAATATTTTCAAAGTTGGGTGTATAATTTTCCTATAATTAAAGAAAAATACTTGAAGATGTTTCACACTCATGTCAGTCTGCTCTGATAAAAATTATTTCATTTAGCTGTTTAAGTTTTCAAAATCCAAGCACATAAAATAATTTCAAAATTATTCTATTTAAAACTTTAACAGACATCTGAATTTCATCAAGTTTACGCAAATGAACTTTTAAAAATATAAGATAATAAATTGTACATATGGTTTATATAACTTTTAGAAAGCAGTATTACCAAATAATGCGTTATAGATACATGGCTGGGTACCTTCAAAATGGAAAGAAAAATCCAACATAGTTCTTGAAATTGGAATTTTAGAAAGTTATTCATAAAATTTCAGCATTAAGTTATTTTGTTGCCACTTCTGACAACTTGAACAATTCAAAAATTTCCCTTAATGTCCCCCAAATAGGCATGATCATCTCTGGAAATCTTTTGGGAAAAAAGTAACCAAAAATGATAATTAGAGGGAATGAATGCTGGGATTCATGATGTCCCTGCAGCATCATATGGTGTAAGTTCATTCGTAAATGTTACAAAGAAATTTAATTTATATTAGTTGACATAGCAAAAGACACCACACCAGAAAAGGAAATGATTACTTAAACGGATCAAAATAAACTAAAGTACTGGTCAGAACCAACAGAACAACAACAAAATATCCGTCAAATAAAGAGATGAGAATGTGTGCATTATGAAGTAATGAAGCATGTGAATCATCAGGACGGAAAGTTCCACGGGCTAAACAATGAGATTATGAAGCTATTTCAATTGCACAGAGGGAATAAAGCACATAAGCACTGATCATCTTTTTTCTAGAATTTAAAATGTGAAGAGCATGAAGCGAAACCTGACGGAAAACTGAGAATGAGAATAATCAAGCAGACAGCAAAAGATGAAAACTCCTGGAATTCTCAGTCTTAGAGTGACAAGTGCCAGAAGGTATGGTTTTTATACAGAAGAACAACATCACCATTACCGGGGAAGCTTTGAAAATGCACATACTCCGGCCCCACCCTGACCCAGTGAGTGAAAAACTCTTGGGGTGGGGGGAGGAGCCTGCAATCTGTGCTGTATCAAACCTTCTAGATGATTCGGACACGCACTAAATTGAGAACCAATGATATGGAATACTGATAGCCATCAGGATTAGGATACTTGTGGCAACTGTAACACAGGATCAGACATTCTTATTCTTTTGCCCACTTACAGAACTCCACTATCTCCCCCAACCCGTCCTAACTCTCCTAAGTACTGAAGTCATCTCTAATCACCCCCAACTCCAATCTATAGGGAAACACAGCACTGAGAACAGAAACCTTTTTTCTTTTGATACGATTCTGGAGGAAAACTGGGACAGAAGGATACAATTAAATATGTTAACCAAGTGTTAAACCCATGTGCGTGTGGATTGATTGAGGGGAACCAGAAGAGAGAAAAGTCTCTGAAAATGTTCAGAAACTTACGAACACTGAGGTTTTTAGGGTTAGTATTGTCACTCACAACCCCATCCTAAGCCTTCCCACTGAATGTTTCCCACTTTGGGGGTACAGGAAGGGAGCTAAGATCTGCTCTTGGTTTGTTATACAAAGGAGATTTTTGCGGTTTGTGAGTCAGAGGCTCACAGTGCCGGGAGGCTTTCTGGGGGACAGCCGTCCATGTTTCCTCCTGTGCTAAATGAGGAAATCTCTTCTGACTTAGATGCCAACAAACCCTACACTGCCTGGCAGCTAACATATACATACTTAGGGGTGTCTTTTGCGTGTTCCAATTAGTAATACATTACTCCTTTCCTCGACAATATTGTGACTCTTAGAACGAGCTTTCCAGAAAGAAGTATCTGCTGAAAAGTACACTTAAAAAAGCAGAGCTAGATTAGACAATAACGAGACGATAAAACAATAACTGATATTAAAGAAACTCATTGGGGAGAAGAACATCATTCTTTTAAACCTACTCTATTTCTTCGTACATCATCACTTTGGTTGTTTTCAGGTTTATTCGCAAGTTCTTCGGATGCTTATTAAATTCTAAAGGAAACATTATCAATACTTAATGTATTTAATATCCAACTCACGTTCATAAGATATTAGTTATCCACCTACCAACCTACCAGAAAGTAGATAAGAACAAAAAATCCCTATCCTCTAACTGATGGTGAAGAGGTCGGCATTCTCCAATTAGTGACATTCACCAAAACATCTGTAACCATTAATCATATCAAATCCCCTGCCTTAGGTCTGTAAATCTGACAAGTATCAGGCAATCATGAACCAAACTTTTCTCATTTTTCACATGAAAAGAAGAAATGGATTGAAGTTAGAGACAGGATATTAAGTTACAGGGTTTTCACTTTAATAGTATTAGAATGGACTAACCAGTTAAAGGTATAGTATTCTCCTCCTTTAAAGAAAAAGGAACCAAATATTTACCAAGCAAGTATAGAGCCCAAGATACTATGGGGGTGCATGGGCACTTTATAGACATTTCATTCCTGACACCACCTACATCACCCCTAGATTACAAATAAAGACACTGAGGATCATCAGAGGGATTAAGACATTTCTGACATTCACAAGTCTACTAAGTGGCAGGACCGGTTTCCCCCACCATACCATGTTGCTTCTTAAGGAGGGTAGTCTACAACAGAAAAGAAGAAGTAGATGGTAACTACCACTGAATTAATTTACGAGCACTGGGACTATTCCCCATTCAGTTTGTCTTCTAACCTGACACTGAGCTCTCCATTCTCCAAATTCTTCATTTTATGTCCTGCTTAACTTGGCATTCAATCATACTCCGCCTTAAAATGCTGTGTTCAACATATTCATATATTATTTCTGCAACAAATAGACAGAAATGCCTTTTCCCCTTCTATCCCCTTCAAGAGTGGCCAGTACCAACTGTGGATTTGATGTCCTACTCGTCTCTTCATTCTGGGGGGTTTAGCGGAACGATGCATGGCAGGTGGTTCAATACTTGTTCAAAGAAGCAGAACTGAAGGTGTAACTGCATCAGAACTTCTCTACCAACGCATGCAGATTCCGTGTCATTTACTTCTAATTACACAGCTTATGATGATTGTTTACTTGTTGAATTTGTATCAACGGTCTTATGAGACAGGGGGGAAAAAGCTTAAATGAGGACAGTAGGGTTAAGTGTCTGAGAAAGCGAGATTTGCCCCATTCTTATTTAGCTAACTAATGTCATCATGAAGTTTTAAGCCGCCGTTTCTTATGTGCAATGTTTCACGCACTAGTTTCTACAACGAGGATGCACAGCCTTAGGATGAAATACCTTAGCTCCCCTTCTAAAAGGGAAAGGCTCCCTGATTAAAAGCAATCATTTTTATACACAAGTAATCCAGACAGAAAACAGCCTCCGAGACAAGAAAGATCAAGCCGGCACGTATCGTTACTTATAAAGTGACCGCTGATTGCCCGCGGCCACCGGAAAGCTTTCTTCTACAAGAAGTCTCCCGAAGGCGGCACCAACCAGTGAGCCACCCCACACACAATGCCATTTTAAATGTACGGTTGCTTCTTAAATTGCAAATCGGGTGGAGGGGAAAGAGGCGCGGGCACCAGAGCGTTGGGCTCGGGCACCTGTTTCCACGAACACCACTGTCCGCTGCACCGCCCTGGGGAGACCTGCATCGCGGGAGTTACAATTCGGTCCCCAGGCGGGGTCTGGCGAGGGCTCGGCCGCGGCCAGGGGCGGCCGCCGAAACGCACCCCGCCGCGCAGCTCCCGCCGCCGCGCCCCGCCCTCGGCCGCTCGCCGCACCTGCAGATCCCGCGCGCTCGGGGGCCGCGGCCCAGAAGACCTCTCCTGTTCCCCCGGATCGGGGCCACCGCCTTCCGCCATCTTGCACCTGCTCACAGGCGCCTGCGCCGACGCGCGTTGCGCGACTTCCGGGCCGGTTGCCCGGCAACCGCGGGAGGGGCGGTGCCTGCGCGCCCCCACCTCCCCGGAGCGTGGGGCGCGCGTCGCCCTTTTCCGGCGCCGTCCCTCCTGGGCCTTAATCCTCTTTTCCTTAAAGGAAGTAGGCTCGGAGACTTTTTGCCGCAGGGACGTATCTACGTAAGCCGCGCGCTGTGTCCGCCACGCGCCTGGTGGTGGTGTAGGCCGTCCTACAGGGCGGCGTAGACGTGTAGGTTCTGTTAACTCAACAATGGAAACGTCCTCTGGACGCATTGTCTGTTAAAAATCGCAACCTTACTTTTCTGGTCTTGGTCAAATTAGCCCGTCTTCCCCAGCAAAGACTGGGTGGTACGCTCGCCCCCAGTGCGTGAATCGGTGTTGAGGATGAAGAACACAGTGAAAGTTCTTTGCACGCAGAGCTGGAGACTGCGAAACCCTCTTCATTCATCTGAGATGTGTTTAAACTCCTCGTGTCTTATTCCAGACACTTTTATGCCCCCGAGGTGCAAAGGTAGAAAATAGTAGGCCCCAGTCATTCTAAAACTCACAATCTAGTGGGGAAAAGAGAGATGTAAACAGATAATAAAATGCGATTTGCAATAGAGCTTTGCATTGAATGGTATGAGTGGGATGTGGGGTGTGAAGGAGAGTATTTTGCTGGTACCTGCCCTGTGCACCCTGCTAGGTGCGCTCCGTGTGTAATCCCGTCTCTCTGTTCGTTACGTACTGTTATTATCGTGTTGTACCCGAGGAGACCAGACGGTAAATAATGGCTGGATTCACCCTGTTGTAAATGGCAGTCCAGGTACCAAATCCGGTATTGGCGGTTCCAGTATTCTTTTTTTCATACAACATCTGCTCTAGAAATCCCTGGCTCTTCGTTATGTTCCATAGTGCCAAGGACATTTTGGCCGAATCTTAAAGGATAAGTACTTCCAATCGACTACGGACCAAAAGGGATCACCAGGAATGGCATTGGTTTGAGACGCCACGTTCATGTTGATAAAGTACTACATGGTTGAAGCTTAGGGGAAATGACAAAAGATAGAAATGGGTTGGGTGGGGTACAGATCTAGACTGAAGATGTAGGCTTAGCACAGACAGGTTCTGAAAGATCTTGTCTTAGTGAAGAGATTGAACCTTACCTCTCGGCCAGTGATTCTCAAGTGTTGCTGCGCATTAGAGCTCACATCAGAACCCCCTTCCCTCCCCACTTAACCCCAGAAACTCGAATTTAATTCATATGGGGTGGGACTCAAGCTCATATTTTTTTTAAGTTGCTTCCCAAGTGGACTTTGCTTCTGGCCATGACTTTGCAGCTGGCACTAGACTTGCTCTTGTTGCATCCACACGACTCCTGAAACAGAATGCTATGGGTACCAGTGACAGTCACAACAAAGTTTATTGCAATGAGAGGCAAGGCAAACCAATCGATCGGGACCGACACTCTTGACCAGAGTGTGGTCTCAAACAGCCGGGGTACCGAGTTTTTAGAGCCGACCACATTGTCTTATTATCACCTGGGAACAGAACAAAGGCATAGTTCCCAGGTGGAAACAGTTCAAACAGGCCCTTGCCCCAATCCAATCAAGCGCTAATCCATCCCTTGATTGATAGGATAAGGCTGTTATCTCTTAACCTATAGTGTTAAAACAAAGCTGTTATCTCTTAAGGCTACAAGTTAGCCCTACGCTTACACTCTCACTCCCAACAATTAAAAAACTTGTACATGAAATAACTGTTTTCAGATATTGAATAACAGGAAGTACAGGTCTGTGATATCCCAGAGAAGAGAAACAAGCAAGATGAGCTGTGTTTGCTCTGACTTTCTGCCTGGAACGCTCACACAGTGCTGGTAGGAATGGAGAATGGCACAGCCCCTTTGCAAGATCATTTCTTCTAAAGCTGAATATTCAGTTATCATAAGGCTTAGCATTTCCACTCCTAAGATTGACCCAAGAGGAATGAAAACAGGTTTACAACAATATTTGTACCCAAATGTCCATAGAAGCTGCATTCATAATAGCTCCGAACTGGAAATAATCCAAATGCCCATCAGCAACTGAATGGGTAACATTTTGATAAGTTCATACAGTGGAATGCTACTCAACAGTAAAAAGGGAGAAAGTATGGACTCACACGCCATGGACGAATCTCAAAGACATCTTGAGTAAAAGAAGCCAGATGCGAAAGAGTAAATATTGTGTGATTTAATGTATATGAGATTCTAGAACAGGCGAAACTAATCTTTACGGGCAGAAAGCTGGTGGTCACTTAGGGTTGTCCCTTTGGGGAAGATAAGCCCTGGGAAGGTTGTCTGGAAAAGGGCATGTGGGAACTGTCTGAGATGATGGAAATGTTTTATGTTTTGACTGCTGTGGTAATTACGCAGGTATATACATTTGCTAAAAACACACGGAACTGCATACTTAAAATAGGCATGCCTTACTATACGTAAATTATACATTTATATACTTGGTTGAAAAAATCTCTCCAGATAATTCTGTTCTGCGACCATGGTTGAGAACCACCGATCTGAGGCAACTGGGGGCCACGAAAGGATTTGTGATTCGAAAGATCACAGAGGCATCAGGGTGTAGGATGAAGCATTGTTAGGAAATCAGAAGTTTCCTCCGTGGCAGTGAGTACAGAAAGAAGCAACAGTTGGTAGAGATATTAGGGTCAGACCTAATGATGCTGGAGTTTACGTGGGAAATACATGGACGGAAGAATAAAGAATGACATTCCAGGTTTTGGTCAGGTGGTTTGAGAAATGGTGCTACCTGCAAATTACTGAGTAGAAAGGGAGACACAATCTTCGACAGAAAGAAGCCATTCCGTTAAGGACATTTTGAATTTGAAATTCATGTGAAACGATACAGTGAAAATACATCACAGAACAATCGCAACTGTGGATGTGGACTCTAGGAGACCAGGAGAGAACGTTGGTGTGGAGATAGATTTGGTGTTGATTGCAGACTAGTGAGAGCAGAGTAGGTGAGGCTTCCCGTGGCAATGTGAAACACGAGAAGCTATGAGGACTGACAATACACGGAAACACCAACACTGAAGGACGCAGTGGAGAAAGGAGAGCATTCAAAGTAAACCTAAGGAATAGTCAGGTAGGATGAAGGCGAGAGACTGGAAAAACTAGTGACAGGGTGGTTTCAAGGAAGAGACCAACAGTGTCATCTCCTACGGAAAATCAAGTAAGATTAGGACCAGAAAGTGTCTGCTGGATTAAAGGAAGAGGAGATTGGTGTACCAAAGGTCACTACTAATTTCATACAGAGGAAAATCCATATTTTAGTAGTTTGAGAGTGGCAGCCAGGACAGTGAGGTCTATATTTTCAATGTACTTAAAGTCAATGGTGTGTAAGAAGTGGCTTAGGCTGGCTTGCGAGAGCCTATTGTTAAATTTTCAGGAATTTCACAAGCAGTTGTAGAACATAACCATTATTAAAAAGTAAATTACATAAACTTACAATGAAGTCATATTAAAAACCAACGTAATGAATACTCAAAAATCATTGTTGCCTAATTATTTGAATACATTTTATTATTATCTATGCTGTTGAGGTTATTTATATCTCTTGTATCCATATGGTGGAGACACTATGTAACGGCACGCTACTGAACCCCTCTTCCTAACTCTATGCATTCAGCAACAGCATGCGGTGGCTTGAAATTTACCATGATGGGAGTATCACACCTCAGAAATTGGCAAATACCGTAAGGAAGGGTTTGATTTATTGTTTTGTTTGCAGTCCACTCTAGATTTAAAAATGTGGTGGAGAGAGGCACCTGGGTGGCTCAGTTAAGGGTATGACTTTGTTTTTTTAATTTTTTAAATGTTTATTTTTTTTTGAGAGAGAGATAGCACAAGCGGGGGAAGGGGCAGCGAGAGGAGGAGACAGAATTCGAAGCAGGCTCCAGGTTCTGAGCTGTCAGCGCAGAGCCCGATGTGGGGCTCGAACCCACAAACTGTGAGATCATGACGTGTGTCGAAGTCTGATGCTTAACTAAGCCATGCAGGTGCCCCTGCAATGAAGTTAAGATTTGAAAGTATGCTGTGTCTATAGCTGTTAATAGTATGAAAAGCAAAAAAAAAAAAAAAAAAAAAAAAAAAGAAAGAAAAGACCTTTTATTCCAGTATTTGTAAATTATTAGCTTATTAGAGGATTCACAAAAGAAGTTGCTCATGTCATGTCATTGAGTTCCTCCATACGTTTGTGTTGTTTCACTCAAATCTTGTTAACTTCCATAAAAATATCAGCTGACATTCACATGGTCACTTGGAAGTCCCCTCTCTTTTAGCTTGTGATGAAAACTATAGTATTTCTTTCCATTCTTCTCCAAAGAGTTATGATTACAAATACCTCACTGCCCTCCATCTTTTATTTTATATTCTCAAAGTGGTTGGGGGGGGGGGTTCAAGAATCATGACATTTATTCTATGATATAAAATCCAGGAGATTCTGTCTCACACTTGCTTCAACATACAATATGTCTTGTTCCTTGGGGTGCTTAAACTAGAAACATAATTTTATACCTTGTTATACTTCGTTTTTCCTTCCATTAGATGGTAAGATCCTGGAGGCTACAGGCCATTTCTCTATCTCCAGTGCCTTGATGTAGAGCTTGGAACATAATATGAATCTTTAATAAGTGGATGAGTGAGTTAGTGAATGACGGAGGTAGGGATCCGTAACTCAAACCGAGATTTGACTCTCTCCAGAGACAGAGCTGCAACTCTGCAAGAAATAACAAGAAATATCAACAGAGATCATCATATATGGATAGGAAAGACAATAAAATGCAGTACTATCCATCACGGACTAATAAACTGCATCTCGCTGTGAACTTCCCAACCTAAGTGAAACGCACACTTGTGTAATTTACTTCTGCTGGAATGTAACAAGATCCGAGGTCATTGTAGTATACGACCCTTTAAAACACGTT